GTAAAAAAGAAACGCTCTCTCATACCACAAGCACTGGACAGAATATTGTTGTGACTAAGTCCAAAAGAAAATCGCGATAAATGGAGACGATTGTTGCTCGCTCTGCTAGTAACTGATTAGCGTACTGCTTTAGTTTCTGGTATATTCACTATACAGAAAACGACCACTCTGATGAACTCTGATGAGATGGTGCTGGACGTGGCTAGTGAGAAGTGACCAGCAGACAATCCGAAATAGGCCATCTGGCACGGCACAAGTTCGATATGTGATTCCGTCTTGACCGTAATGGAATGTTCACACTGATGCCTAGATGATGCTACACAAGTGGAATATATATTTTCTGATAAGCTGGCGCACGCTACGAGTAATCCTCGCCGTAGTGCAGTAGTCAGTTTAATGAACTTGGCTAGTCAAGTATCACAGCACTTCTTGAGAATGTTAAAAATAAGCAGATGTCAGGCTTTTCAGTAACATCGCTAGCAGAAAATCCAGGATATTCCAATCCACGAGATTCCCTTGACCATTCAGCCTGTTTTACTAGGCGCCAAAGGCCAGGTACTTTCGTAAACGATCAACGAGAGGGAGTAGATGGGAAGAGGAGGAAGGGAGGGGAGACGGGGTGTGCATACCGGCGTAACTCACGCAAATAGAGTCGGTTGCGCACCAGATTTGGCGCCGTGGCGGTGTACTGTCACAACCACCAGTGCGTTAAAACGCACATATCCATAACTCACCACTCTTAAAATTTTGAAAAATGTAGAAGACAATCCATTGATCGAAGAGTGCGGGAAATGTGTGTGCGCAATGTAAAGGCGTTTCTGGATAGGTGAATGGGTGGAAGCGATGTGTGTGTGTGCACCTAACCCCGTGCAGATTTGCGGCCAGCGCATCTGGATGTGTACAGGTGGACGAGTGGGAAAGGCTGCCCTAGCTAAAAAAAAACATTTTAACTGCTTGAAATTAGAAGCCCTGAATAATACGACTCATACAAACAGACAAACATGGCCATGCGCACATTTGCAGGAGGCGATTGTGCGGACAAACACACACTCGCACAGACCCATGCTCGCCTGATTTGTGCAAATATAAAATAGGTCTGTCTGTTTGCTCAGTGGATGCGACAGGAACGCACCGGTGGATAGTGACAATCGAGCAGCCTTCGTCGCTTCCTGGAACCAACACATCTTTCTTACCGCACGCGCCGCGAGAATTCCCCGCACTCCCTCCTGATTCTCTTCCAGAATTCATGCTATCTCGTCCTGTCTCTTGCATGCCCACATCAGTTCAGTAGCGTCGGCGAGCTTGGAGTCCCGTAAATACAGGAAGCTGTTGTTGCATCCGATGTGTGTAACTTGCTAGGATACACAGAGAAAAATAGTCCGAGCACTTCCGGAAGGAAAAAATCATTCAGGATTATGAGGAAAAGACGGAAAGAGGGAATAGAGAGTTTGCTGGAGTGTTGGGAGAACAAAGGAAGAACGGCTATGCAGTGTAGAAGAGCGCAAACGTATACGCCATGACTTACAACAACCACAACAGCAACGGAAGAGGAAAATGGGCGTCGCGATTTACCGCATTGAGCAATTGAATCGAACGGCTGCCCAGTTCGATGAACAGAGCGAAGTGGCACAGTGCTACTGGGAGATGGCGGAAACAGCAGCTGTCTAGGGGAAGAGGGAACAGATAAGGGAGTTAGATTTGGCTGACGAAGACAGAAGTTGAATTTGAATCTGGACAACAATCAGTTTACTGAAGAGTACCACGGACTGAAAATAATGAGTTTTTTTAAGTTGCAAGATGCCTGTTTCATAGAAGCGGGGCAGCAGAGAGGAAAAGGCAGAGGAGGAGGTCCTCTGCGAAAATCTCAGCAAATAGCAGGACGGCTGCATACATTTCTGCGACACACTGGTGCTGATTCACATCAGGTGATACTGTCTGACAGAAAGCGCTACAGTAGTAACTGGAGCAAGCAGACAATAAAACAGCAGTATTTTGTAGACACGTTTTTCCTGTCCTGAAAAATGAACGGACTAATTTTTTTTCAGAAACTGGACGAAGGGGAAATTTTGATATGCTTAGATGGATAAAGGCAGCCTACTTGTCCAGTCTAGAAAACGCCAAAATCCATCCACACAGGATGTAAAAAACGATAAAACTATGTGGACGACAGATATGCTTCGCAAAATGTGATGCTAAATTAAGATGGTCAGCAAAAGTCAAAAAAAAAAAAAAAATTCATCCAGGAAGTGCGAAACTGCCTGAACAGGTTCAGCTGGGGAGGCAGACTAGGACTCGTACCTTCTCTGTCCAGAAAGAGTCTGTAGACTGTTGTGATTAATACGGTGGTGAAGCAACACTGGCGTGAGGAAGAGGCTAAGGAAGCAGCACTGGCAAAGCAAACCCTGCAAAGAATTTTAAATACGCACTTCAAATTCTTTAATATGTAAGCAAACTCTCGGAAGCCAACTCACTCGAAACACTTTTCCAGAAATCACCAACATGAATTAGCCTGTCAACAGCAGGCCGACTACTCTGTAGATTTGTTTGGCAAGTGCATCCAACATATCTCTGGCTTCATACACCTGCAGCAACCTAGTATTTTAGTTTATGTGGTGAAAACCATATGAGAATAAATTGCTAGAAAATTTAGTTCCGAATTTCCGCTCAAGCTCAATAATTTTTCGTTTTGGCACAAGTACAGCTTAGCAGATTTGTTCAGTGAATTCGGAACTGCTTAAGAGGTGTGCAACTGGACAAATCAAGCTTGGAATGACCACTAACAAAATTCTCCGGCACTTTTACAGGAAGTGATATGCCGGAAAATTTTGTTAGCGGTCGTTTTGTCCCGGATACAAAAAAAAAATCTTTTTCTCCTATATGAAGAAAAATTTTTCGTCACTGTTTAATGAAAGTTTTCAGAACTTTTTATCGGCAAATCGAATATTCTGGGCTGAAATAATTGCATTTTCCCAGTGTACACTGCCTAACGCAATCACATTCATTATTCTGCCGGGAACCTAAAAATCTTTCCCCCCCC